AGGACCATAACATAACCATGATCCCTACAACCCAGCCAAACTGCCGACACACAGATTGGTACGCGACGGGTTAAGAAAGTAGGCAGCCTAAAGGCGAACCAAATACCTCGGCAGCCAAGCAACCGCCTCCAAAGCGACTGTGCCCAGATCGAAGGGGTTGCCCTGCTTTCGCTGAAGGCAGCTTAGATAACCCACAAGGACTTATGGAGGAAAGTGAGTTGGACGGCAAATCGGATATCTTGAGGTCGGCCATCTGGGGCCCTGGGCTGCAAGAAGCTTCAAGCAGCCGATGACAAAGGCACCCAGGGCGATAGTGCCTTCGATGCCCCGAATGGCCCGACATCCCCAGAACATCACATGGAACATTATGGAACATAACGAAGCTCCTCCTGGGGCTCATTTTTGGGGCCCAGGTTAAGTTGTTGCTAACCAGCAAGTCGCCTTCCGGGGTGGCCCTCGTATGCGTACCTTTCAGGAAAACTGGAGCGAGCGACTGGTCTTGTGAACCTGGTTGCGCACCTCAATGCGCAAGTGGTATAGATTGGCAGCTTGCATGGGGGGAGGGGGTTGTCACATGAGATGCACGGTCTAGCCCCTACCAAGCTGTCTGGGTCGAAACCAGGTGCCTGGCTCCGGAAGTAACTTCCCAGAACACGGCAGGAAGCAGCGAGAGACCCCGCATTGTCTAAAGGGCGCGTGCACGTATGCAATAGCTCGAGCGGCCCCGAACAAGACAGCCTGCGCCTCCAAACAAGTTACCTCAGTCAGCTACCGAGGGGTCCGTCGCGTGAGGCAGTAAAAGACATATTCATAGGCACCATAAAGCAAGAAAAGCAAACAGATTTCAGCACAGAGAGCTTCACGTCTCCTCCACTTGTAATCTGTACGAGTTCTCTTGAATGATAGCTCACTCCAACCACTCCAATTCCTATGCAAGCGTTCTCAAGCTCCCCAAAAAACTTCCACTTGCTTGGCGGTACTCAGACTGCTAGAAGGGCAACTACTGTGCATGGACACTATGCATGGACAAAATCCAGCTCCAGTTACCACCCAGCTACTGGTGATGCTTGTCCACAACGCTTGCATTTGTTCAATCAGAGCCATGGGGCCGCGCCTAGGTGAAAGCAAAGCCCCGTGTAGTAGCCACTGAGCATGGGGTACGACCTCGGACCAAAGCGATCTTAGATGCGGCAGGTGAGTTGCAAACATCCAACATCCAGCAAAACTAGACCACTTACAATTCCACTTCCCAGTGGGGAAAACCTTGCTGGTTCTCAGCTGGAAATGGGGGAATGACCCCTATGAACCATGCGCAGTAATTTCTAGGGATCCCGTGCTGCTTCACTCCCAAAACCCCTCAAACCATTCCCTACTGAGAACCAGCCAGCAAAGCTGGATCCTGGACATGTGAACCAACGAGCCACCAGCGCGTTTTCCAACGAACTTCCCACGTTCCACTGGGTTACTCCCCCTGCCAGGGAGTGGAACCCCAAAAACCCGGAAAGGATCGCCGAGGCTGTGGCTCCAAGTCCCTGTGGACTGTGCTGCTGACAACCTCGCGACGCGAGGTAGGGCCACAATAAGATAGATGGGTGCGGATTTATTTTGGGATTTTTTTTCGTTTTGTTTTGGGAATTTTTGTTCGTTTTTCGTCCGGGCCAGCAAAATGTCGTATTTTACAGCATGTTCTCGCGAAATTGACGCATTTTACACTAGCTCGTCAACATCCCCAGCATCGTTTTCAACATCCCCCGCATGTCCGACCAACATCCCTAGCATCACCAACAAATCGTGGGTAACAAAATCCAAAAATGTAGCTGGCGGGTTGACGGGGTCAAAACAATGATGCTTCAAACAGGAGGGCATTTCAATCCCAGCAAAAAAAATACAAAAAAAACCATTAAGAAAAACAGAGCGGGGTAGTGATGATTTGAATAGGGGTGCAATTAAATCTCTGCAAAAAGTCTAAAAAGTAGCGGGGGGGTTGGAAGAATTGATGATTCAATTAGGGGTGCAATTAATTAAATCTCTGTAGAAAATCTAAAACGTAGCGGGGGGGTTGGGGGGGGGCGGCAGCCCCCCCATGATGTCGGAAGAAGTGGTGATTCAAGTAGGGGTGCAATGATTCAAGAAAGGGTGTGATAGAATTTAAAAGGCAGCGGGAGGGTTGGCGGGGGTGGCTTCCCCTATGATGTTCGAAGAAATGCATACATACAGACATACACGGACTACACAGATTACCTAAAATGTCGTATTTTGCAGCATTTTCTCGCGAAACTGGATGCTCGAAAAAGTGATGATTTGAATAGGGGTGCAATTACATCTCTGCAAAAAGTCTAAAAAGTAGCCGGGGGGTTGGGGGGGCGGCAGCCCCCCCCCCTGATGCTCGAAGAATTGATGATTCAACTAGGGGTGCAATTAATTAAATCTCTGTCGAAAATCTAAACGTAGCGGGGGGGGTTGGGGGGGGCGGCAGCCCCCCCATGAGGTCGGAAGAAGTGGTGATTCAAGTAGGGGTGCAATGATTCAAGAAAGGGTGTGATAGACTTTACAAGGCAGCGGGAGGGTTGGCGGGGGTGGCTTCCCCTATGATGTTCGAAGAAATGCATACATACAGACATACACGGACTACACAGATTACCTAAAATGTCGTATTTTGCAGCATTTTCTCGCGAAATTGGATGCTCGAAAAAGTGATGATTCAAACAGGGGTGCAATTCAATCTCTGCCGGGCCAGTAAAGTGTCGTATTTTACAGCATGTTCTCGCGAAATATACCCCGCATGTCCCACCAACATCCCTAGCATCACCCACAAATCGTGTGACGGGGTCAAAGAAATGATGATTCAAGTAGGAGGGCATGTCAATCCCAGAAGTGATGATTTGAATAGGGGTGCAATTAAATCTCTGCAAAAAGTCTAAAAAGTAGCGGGGGGGTTGGGGGGGGCGGCAGCCCCCCCCATGATGGTTCAAGAATTGATGATTCAACTAGGGGTGCAACCCCCCCATGATGTTCGAAGAATTGATGATTCAACTAGGGGTGCAACTAATTAAATCTCTGCAGAAAATCTAAAACGTAGCGGGGGGGTTGGGGGGGGCGGCAGCCCCCCCCATGATGTCGGAAAAACGCCACCTGCCGAAGAGGAACTGGGAATGCAGAGGATGCGAAAAGCCAAAAAGCCACCAAAAGCCGCATAAACCAGCAAAAAGCCGAAAAGCCTAGAAGCCCAGAAGCCGAGAAGCCAAGAAGCCGAAAAGCCAAGAAGCCAAGAAGCCAAGAAGCCAAGAAGCCCAGAAGCCGAGAAGCCGAGAAGCCAAGAAGCCGAAAAGCCAAGAAGCCAAGAAGCCGAGAAGCCAAGAAGCCAAGAAGCCAAGAAGCCAAGAAGCCAAGAAGCCAAGAAGCCAAGAAGCCAAGAAGCCAAAAGCGAAACAAATTCCCAAAAAAAACGAAAAAAAAAAATCCTAAAATAAATACCCCTCCCAATAAGATTGGGATTCAGATGCTTCAAGACCAAATTACTTGACATAAGTACCAGGCATACTCCAGCAGAGCTGGAGGGCGGAAGTTTCTAATTAGAAAGCGCCTGGGAAACAAACGCACCATGCCCCTTCGAAATTAAAAAAAGAGACCCCGTCACCACCAGCTCAAGCCAAGCGCGAAGCTGGGCAACGTCGGCTTCCCTCAAACTAATGGTTTGGAAGGTCGGGGTGTCTCAGATAGAAGGCTTCGGCAAACCTTCCCAGAGGATCCCGCCATCTCCTCAAGCTCCATCCTTGAAAAACGAGCTTTCATGCGTCCAAACAGTGGGTCTTCTTTGAACAAACAGCAGCACCGCCGACAACTTGCAACACCGTTTTGACAAGGGCGGCCATGCCGAGCGGCTTTCCAAGCTCTGCCAGGCACTGGAAGCCAAACAAAAGAGTTGACGAGGTGATTGGTTGGAGAGATACATCTCTGCAGTTGGAATGATGTCATTCTAGTGTCTGCTGCATCTTTTGGCCCGTGAAACGCACATCCTAGCCCACCAAGAAAGTGCACATACCTTGCTCTTGGAAAGACTTTTTCACCCCTGCACCGAGTCATGCATGGTGGGAGGGCGCCCCAATTTGGGCAATTGATCCCTTTCCTGTGGAACACCTCACCCAAATGGAGGGTCCCCATGCTCATTGCATATTGTTGCGGTCCAAAAGGAAGCGCACGGGCTTCGGCAAAGTGCCCGGTTCCCCCCCTCGAGGCTCCGAGCTGCATGGGAGATGGCAAACCTCAGTGCCCCAGGCCCCGACGGTCTTAGGCTCTGGAAACATGCGGAGGTCTCACAAACCTCCTTGGGGCTTCAGGAATCTACGGAAGGGAGATGAAGGAAGAGGAAAAAGGTAGGACATGGGAAAGAGAAGGAGGGAGAGGCTTAGGAATGAAGAATGCCTCTCCCATATCCTGTTTCCCTTTCCCTTTCATTCTTCTTCCTCACTTTGTGTCGTCAGGAATGAAGTGATGGACGGGGAAGAATAATAGCGAGGAGATGGACAAAAAAAACCGGCAAAACAACGAGGTCGCGCCCTAAACAAAGTGCCGGCAGGCAGTTAAAACACAAACAGGGTAAAGCTTTGGAGGCCGGCCGACATTCGCCAAGCTCTCAGGTAAAACTATGCATGGAGTCTTGGGAGGTGTCTGCGCAGAGTTGCTTTCTTTGATCGACATCGCAAACATCGAAAGCCCCCAAGGAATCCTCCAATTTGCTTTTGCAGATTTTGTAGAGACAATTGGGGAACAGGCCGCCAACATAACCCAACGTCAAAACAGGGGCCTGCCCACGGCAAGGCAAAATATGTCTTGTTCCGGAAATACTGGGGGCAATCCCACACAATCCATGGTCCATGTGTGTGTCAGTCATATTTATCAACGTGCCTTTGTAGGCCTCTCAGAGCGACATCGCCATGTTGGCCTCTCAGGAAAACATTGGGCTTATCAAATTCTACGACGTTGTCGGATGCCGCTTGTTAGCGTACACCTCTCCATTACACCTCCAGACACTCCCGAACGAAGAGATGAAGAGAGTGGACATGTGGATGAGGATGGGATCTCTTTCACCCATCCAGATCTTATGGTTCTTTATCTTTCATATCCTGTTTCTCTCACCATCTAACCCTTCCTAATCCTCAGGTTACACCGTCTCACCTATAGATCAGCCAACAGGCGTGCTATCCCATCTTCCTTCATCTCATGGACACTCCCGAACGAAGACAGGAAGAGAGTGGACATGTGGATGAGGATGGGTTGGGTCATTCCTTTCTCCCAACCATCTAATCTCATCCAAAATGCGAGGTGATTGGGAACGAAGGAAATCACCCACAAACCCATTCCTCTTTCCATGTTCTATCTTTGTATTATTTATTGTAAACTTTAGAACCATTAACCCACACATATCTCTATCTTATGATATGTCGTTTACATCTTAGAATTAATACAAAATGCATCCATAAAACCATTAAATCTTAGACAAATAGCATTCACAAGTTGTTTGTCTTTCTAGTTTTTTTCTATTTCTCTTTCATATTGTCCTAATCCATTATTTTCCTATGTCCTGGATGCCCGACAGGAAAGGCATCTTATCTCTTCCTCAAGCCACTTTATTCTTGGCGGTTGATGATGAAAGAGCGTGATTTGCGTGATTAGCGTGATTATCGAATTGAATGTAGCCAAATGTGACATACATTGGGGCCAAATGGATGCCATTTAATGGGTACATTTAACTGTGACCGTGATTTGGCGTGCTTTCCTGGAAGAATGTCGAAAGTGTTTTTGCAGGATTTGTCGAACCCATCACGTTGAATCGATGCTTCTCAGGTCAACATTAAGTCTATGAACATCCATGTTGCCTCTCAGGCCGAAAAAATGCGCTCATGAATGTGTGCACGTATCGCTAACATTGGAGTCGCAAGCCAAAGTGGGCAACGCCTCCTTAGCTTCGTGGCCCCAAGTGCATAAGCATACATTGGATGGACGGAACCCTGCACCGCCTAACAAACCATGGGAAGCCATTGTTCACTGGTATTTACAACAGAATCATCCTTGCAGGGTTTGTGAGGTGGTGCAGGATTTCGTATGATTTCGTCCATCCACAGTATCAATGTCTTGTTCCTTTTTCCTGATCTCCACCTTAGCCCCCAGCCTTCCCCTCCGGCACTGAGACCCAGGCTGACCAAGCGCGTTCAGCAGCTCAAAGATCCAGACCTCACGTTAAGAAACCGCGGCCGAGATGGCCAACGGGTGTCGAAGAGGGGAACTGCGAAACTTGGATTTCCTGGTTGCTTTCCAGGCCACTTGGGGGTTGTCCTATATTATTTTGCCCGGGATTGGGCCCTTGGGCCGCACTTGCGCGGCACTTGCGCGCGCACAGTGACGCGGAAACTCGGTTTCGTTGCCCTCGGTTTGCGAAGTTTTCGTGTGGATTCCGCGCGAGCTTTTCTAAGCAGTGTGTTTGTCGTTCACACAGCAACCCACAAAGGCTCTTCCCGCTGAGGTCGCTGCCAGCGATTCTAGGCCAGCAACATACTCTTGACCCAACAGAAAGGACAGCAGGCTCTGCCACACAGCTTGGACACAGCCTGACAGAAGGAAAGTGCATGTTGCGGCTGCCTATCCATTGCTTGAACCGCGCCGCTAAGGACGTCCGAGACAGCATATGCCTAGATGTCTTGCTGGGGCTTCTCGTGCTTGCGCGCAACTTGCGCGCGGCTTGCGCGCGGCTTGCGCGGATTTTGTCGTGTCAGCTTGCTGATTGTTGAAGTCATGACCGCAGAAGCTTTGGCTTCGTTTGGCGTCTGACTCAAGAAAACGCCGCACCTTTGCAAACAAGCCTGTGGCCTACACAACCCAAGCAACATTCGAAAAGCACAAGTACAATAAAAATAAATCACCTCGTTTCATGAAGCTAGGCAACATCAGGACATGAAACCCTTCAAAGCTGTAACCTTGCGCGTCCCTTGGGCCGCACTTGCGCGCTCCTTGCGCGCGCACAGCTTTTGACAATTTTTACTTCTCCCCGTTCGGCGATCATTAAAACCGTTGATTGGGGTTTTAGGACGGCCCTCACTTGGTTACCGCGGTGAGAAACCACCAGCCTGCTTAGTAAATGAGAAATGGTCTCATGTCTGCAAAGAGGGCCTTCACCAATTCTCCTGAATGACAGTTCAATTGTGGTGCATGCCATGTTGTCACTAGTCATCATGATCCTCCTTGCAGTGGCGAACCTGCTTCCCAAGCCGCAGCATGCCAGCAAAGCGATCCTGCATTTCTTACAGACACCAACCCTGAGAAACGAACAACGAACCTAAACACGCGCACAACGAAACACCCACGAACCAAGCACTGTGGCAAGCCCAACCCCGGTGCTGTGGCACCCGCCACGCCGAAGATCCAGTAGGCAAGGCAAGCCTGGCTGACAAAGATAATATTGAAGCATGTCTAGCGGACTTCAAACAAAGCAGCGTAGCTTGTTCTAGTTTATCCTAGATTGTTTTTGATGGTGGCCAAAGGGTTAAACCGTTTACCCCAGCATGAAATAAGAATCAATCCCAACCGGTGCAGGATTGTCGCTTTCTTGTCGGATCAGGCCACTTGAGCGCAGCATCAGCCGCATGCCCATTTCTGGAGCCGGACCCGAACAGCTCGATCGTTTGATCGCACGCAGTTCCAATTGCCAACCTCTCGCCCTGGATTTGCTTGTCGTGCCCCGTGCCCAGGTGCCTGGGTAATTACCTCGCCAAGCCATTTCAACGCCACTTGTGAAAGGGCAAACGCCAAGCCAGCAAGAAGAAAGCACCGTCCCGTGCTTTCAATCACAAGCAAAACCTCCACATTCGCCGCCAACAGCAGTTAACTGTTGGCAGCCAGTCGGAGTAACCTGTAATCCAATTTCAGAGGGTCCAAAAGGCCTGCTGGCAACTGTGCTAGCAGCAGCGCTTTTGCTCCCACTCGAAGGTCGCATCCAGTGATGTGTGCGCGTAGGATTTTGGGTGCTACCGAAAATCCCAAAAACAAATCAAAGGCACATAGCCTTTCAAGAAGCGAGTGACTCTTAAACCGTTGGGACAACTCAAAGTGTAGCCCTATAATCCGAACGTCTAGTTTGCCATAAATGTTCCAGCGGCGCTTTGCGCATCTGGAAAGCGGAAATGGATGGCAGGTGTGCCCACTGGAGCTGGGTGAACTGGAGGCTTCGATGGATGCCAGCCTCGAGAGAGAAATTGACCAAAGGCCCGGGTCATACATGTCTAATGGGGCTTAAATAATTATGGGGGTACATATGCTAGGGGCCTGCAAAAATATGTGAGACGTTAAATCAACTTGAGTACACACGCACACACACACGCACACAGCCTGAGGCCTTAGGGTTTGAGTCCGCGCCGCGGGCAACTTTGGCAGGTCACCCCCTAGAATCGACGAGCACTTTCAAAGGAGCCCAAACAGGGGGGTTGGTGTGGTCTTTGGTTAGGTCCTTGGAGGATGTTGTGGGCAAATTGTTGTGATTCAAACTGGAGATATGTTGTCGTGTTTTCGTTTTTTGGAAAACAAAACACGTACAGGACCTGCATCAAGGGTCAATTCACTCGTTTTACCCCTGACTCGGCGAGGTTGGCCTTCGGGAAATAAGTTGCCCAGAAAATATGTGCAATTCCCAAAAGACAAGGATTCAAGATGTACACTCCCACCAATTCACATGGACCCTGACCGGGGGGTTCTGGAAGACCCGGTTCCCTTTAAAGCAACCATTCCTCTGTCAGGTTCCATGATAATTGGTGGGAGGGTAAGCCACGAGCCAATTGAGGCAATTCGAATGACGACTGGTGCCACATGCGAAGAAACCTGGGGCTGCGGCAATCTGCACTCCGCCCTGCTCCAGTGGCCTGGCAAAAGCTGGAGGGTGAATAGGGGTGTTCTGGGGTATCTTTCAACATTCAAGCCCCTGTGGTGTCGATTGGCGACTTAGCAACTGGAATTATGCTATACATCATTTCGCGCAAGAGGGGGGGGGCCCGCTTCTGACATGATCCACCCCCCAAGCTTTGCAGAAATCCTTTCGGGCAATTGGTCCTTAGGGTTTCGACAAGCTATACCCCATCCACACTCCACCCTGGCGCATCGTATCAACGGCCAACCACCTGCTCCGCGGAAAACCAAGCCGGGCGCACGCACCCTCTGGCACCACCTGGCTGGATGGATCTACGTAGCAGGAACCACGGGCCGTCCCCCCTACATTCCTGGTAAATACTGGCAATTAACCTCTTTCCCAGTGGGCAGGCTTTCTCTAGAGGAGCAAGAAGGTCGATCGTCAGCCATGAGCGTCGGCAATCGGAGATTTCCTTTCTGCCTCGAAAGGAAACATGCATCTTGGGGTAGCCCTCCCTTCCATACATTTCTTACGGGTCGAGTTGCAAGCGCCGTTTTGGCAAGCCTCGGAGGGTGGGGTGGTGGGGACACAGCTTTCTGTAAACCACCCGATTGAAACACAAAGGTGGGAAGGGGGGTGCTGATACGAATATGCAAGCCTGCGAAAAGTCATCGGAATCCCATGTGCATCAAGGATAGTCGACGAGAGCTCAGGTCATTTTCCACTTTGCACACATCGAGCCACACAGAAAAAGGCGCAGTTTGCCAGGATGCCTCCTTATTTTTCCAGGTTTGGTGCCTGCAAGGACAGAGAGGCTTTCTCGGCACCCTCCCAATGGCAATCGTGGCACCTGAAAGGGCCCCCGTGGAACTGCATCACACTGCAACAGTGTCCTTAAGCCACCATTTGGGCCAGTGTCTGGATGGGTGGGTGGGTGGATGGATGGATGGATGCATGCATGCATGGATGCATGGATGGATGGATGGATGGATGGATGAGCAACGGAAACCGCCCCCTGCCGCGACTGCAGGGCAGCCTCAGGTACACGCTCCACACAAGCAGTCATGAACGCGCAAAAGGCGCGCAGACGAAACAGCCGTGGGAACCACAACTGCAAGCGAGAGGTGCCAGCAGTGCCTCCGCCATTCCCCCGTTCCCTGCACCCTATAGGCCAAGGCTACCGAAAGCCAGGGTCCGGGATGTCCAAAAAAGTATCCAAAAAAATATAAGCTGCGAGAGCAAGTGGTTTTTCATGTATCTTGCATTTTGTAAGGGACGCCCTCCAGCACGGCTGCCCTTTGAAGCTTCCATAGTTGGTTTTGGTATGCTAGTAGGTCCGGTCTCTATGACCGCCCCTGCCTTCCCTGTAGACAGGATCCAGGCAAATCCGTAAACCTCACCGGCAAACGCAAGTGTTGCCCGCCATGAAGCAGAGGACAACGTTGTTGGACAACGTAAAATCATAAGCCACTGGTCACTTCTTTTGGGAGGGGCACTTGATCATGACTTGTAAAGCACCCCAATGGGGTCCTCTAAAGAGTGCGCGCTCTACAAATAAGCGCGCTTCCATGTCAGCCTTCTGTCATTGAGGAATGCTCATTCCAACAGGTGCAAGCCATGTCTGAGCACCTTGAGTATGTGGAGTCGAGGCACGCGTATGCCACAAAAGCGATGTTAATTTCTTCCGGGCTGCTGAAGCAACAGATGGGTAATTATAACCCAACACGACCAACCATATGCTGGGTAAACAGTCACGCATCACCAATCCAAAGAGTCCTGCCAACAGCCATGAGACTGCAAACCAGTGACCAAAGTACAAGCGGGCGTCGTAAGTCACCCCACGTCGCGTTAAGTCACCCCAGCCATCCCCAGCCGCTTGGAACTACGCATATCCGCTTAAGTCACCCCATGCGTTTTAAGTCCTTCCATTTTTTGCAAAACACAATGGGCACAGAACTGGAAGGGCGATGTTGCCAACCCCAAGAATTCACCGCACACTGCACGCACATGCTCAAAACTCACTGGTTTGGGTTCATGTTGAATGCTTTTCCCGGGCAAAACCCTATTGGGCACACTGCAGTGTTTTCTGTTGGTTCCCCCGGAACACCCGACGAAAGGGCTGCCGGCGCCAGTGCCGCGCGACTCTGCGCGAGTGCCGCGCGAGCGCCGGGTGAGCCGTGCCCTCCTCCCAATGAAGATTGCTTCCGCTTGTGGCACAACTTCAAGTGCTGCGGCACGAGAAGAGAGAACCACCCAGTGGCAGTGAACATACACGCATGCAAACGGCACATGGAAGGCGACCAAATGTTGAACAACATACATTTTGCATGCGCACAGCACAGAATTATGCGATTTCAGAAAATGACATGCTTGAGACAACTATCCTTACATGCACAAACGCAACGGGCACACTCACCCGAGACGACTTAGATCAACCCGGGACGACTTACAGCACTTACCCTGTAGCGTGTATTGCAAGGGCTTGGAAGGCTAGATGCTGACAAGCAATCGGGCATGTTTCGAATCCCAACTTGGTCAGCGGAAATCCCAAAAGAAGAAGTTCCAAGACAAGCCCTGCGCCTACCCCAAGGCTGAAGGCACTCTGAGACTCTTTCGCCGCTTAGCCACAACCTTCCTTCTCCAAATGGCCGGTACAGTGGGTTCCCTAAACAATGTGCAAGGGCAACGGCCATAAACAAAAGAAATGTGATTTCTGACTTGTGGTAAGCAGGGCTTCAAGCCCTTCTTCCCTGCAATGCATTGCGTCCACCATAGCGTCTATCCTCTTGCTATTGCAGCCGCCCACTGAGCGCAGCGCTAGGAAGATCAATGCAAGCACCTTGGGGCAATACGTTGGGGACATGCGTTGGGCAAAACGTGCTTCCTAACAACGAGGACACACGTTGGACATGTATATATATATATATGTGTGTGTGTGCGTATGTACACATAGAAAGAGAGAGAGAAAAAAAGATAGACGACCCTACATACATACAATACTCTTTTTACACAAGCAGAAATACGCACGTATCTGGCATACTTGTTGCACTCGCTGATTGATTTACAATGTCAACAACGGGAACTGCCGATAAACCTGCAGGGGTTTGTTCTGAAGTCAACATCCCGCAAACCTGGGGGCGAATCAGTTGCCAGTCTAAGCCGAAGCGTTCCAAAGACCCTGGCACGGGAGAAAACGGCACCCCGAACGGAAACAAACAGGACCAAAAGGTGCTACCCTGGTTCGGGCATGTGTCTCGGAGCAACCCTGCAGTTTACGCAACTGGCAAAAGCGAGGGCCCCCACCCCCCACCCCCGCCCCCCCACCCCCCCTTTATACATATATATATATATGTGTGTGTGTGTGTATGTATGTACGTATGTACATACATTCCGCAGCATGTCCCCAAATGCAACGTTGTGGAGAGGGGTGAGTCGCATTGTTGGGGTGCCCGCTTGCTATACATTTCTTGGGGGGTTGTATTAATCTTCATCAATATCAACCCTTTGGATTGGAGAGTTACGTGTCATATCAGTTGCTCCTTTCGAACCCCCCGCCTAATCACAATCTGAAATCCGCTTAATCCCTTGTTCTGGTTGGTAATCTTCTTAATCAGCACTCCGCGCTGCAAGCCGCAGTTAACAAACCTATGCTGGAGCATGTACCTTAAGCATGAACATCTACGCAGCCCGTCACTCTTAACCATTAAAAGGCAGAATCTCATCCGCAAAGCGCAGAACCTGCAATCCGCTACTTTAGGTCTTGAACAAGCTCGACTTCTGCCAGGCAGCACCAAAAAAAGGGAGAAACCTCCGCATACACACACAAACAGCCACCCACTCAAACAACCACCCACGCACGCACGCACAGCGATCCTTCGATGCCGGGGCGCCACTACCACAGAATGCAGCAAGGGCTGCAGCAGCATACTGGGCATCTCTGCAATGACCTGCCCGCTTGACCGGTGAGGGGGGAGGAAAGTCAGCAGCGGTGTTTCGGTCATCTGCCACTTGGGGGGGGGGGGGGAGTTTGCTGATGGTAAAGTAATGCCGCCCGGAATAAACAATGGTACATTTACAGGAGAAAACAACATGTGAACAAAAGGCTCTGATGCCAAGTTGCCTATGTTTCTGGCATCAAATACGGAGTCTGCTGATCATTCCGATTGTTGCCCAGCGGGGTCCTGCCGACACAAAAGGGAAAAAAGGGTGCCACACAACTCGCAATGCCAAAAAAGGTAGAATCCGGCCTGAAACAACCACTTCTGACTTCTGTTTCTTGGTGGTTCGCTGACTCTGGCACATTGTTCGGATTTTTGAGATATGTTATGGATCCCTCTGATCTTTCGAAGTCCAGCCGAACGGTACCGCTGGAATCTTCCCAAGCTTCGTGGTCCGTGAGCACTCGCATCAGCTGAGGATGGAAATCAGACCCATGGATTGACAATCTTAACGCGAGCTTGAGACTCCACGTGGTCAACTCATATGAAATGGGTAGAAGAGAAACTTGCGACGGGCCAACGGGCCGTCCAGGAAATTGTACGACTGGGGTCGTTTAAAGTGATCACGGTGTAGGGGTTCTCAAAATTGCGATTAAACATGATTTCCCGTTATACAAGCATTTCTAGGATGGCATGTTGATATCCGAGTACAGCCTCTCCTTGGATCATAGTTTGCGTGCCATGTGTTGACAGCTTCTTCGGTGCGAGTCCTGCTGAATCAGTGCACAGCAGCAAAGTGCTCATGTCCTTCCCACGAAGCGACGACGATACGAGAATGGCGTTGGTGCAGGGAACGAGCAAAGATCAAACGACTGTAGTCTCCTTAAATAATATCACCCATGGGGTCCAAAGGTGCTAAGACAACACATGGGTGTGTCGTTTTTTGGGGACTTCAAATGGTGGTTTCCTTTCGGCTTTCCTTTAAGCCAATTCCAAAAAAAGGTACCCTCAAGCCGAATGCTGCCTGACAAGTAGCGGTGATGCTGTCGACGGTTACGGCCAGGGCGTCCCTGGCCGGCTGTCTGACTTTGAGGGTGGACATGTTAGATGCCCCAACCATGGATTTAGCAACTTTCTAGACTCTTTGAGCACTCTTGGCGCACTATCCACAGGTGGGACATCAAAAGCTAACCTGAGTAAGGTCACCCCAGTCCAAGAAAGCGAAGAAAGTGAATGTGGCGCGACGTGTTTTTGAGGCCCACCTGCGTTTCGGGCGCTAAACCAGAAAGGACACAACATCCCTTCAGACGGAAAACCGCCCAATCGTTTTCGTGACCATGCTTGCCGAAGTGGGTGGAAAACAGTGCAAAACGAATTCGTTCTCTCATGTCACTGCCTTCAGCCCTTTTGTGAAGCTACAATGTTCCCGCGATTCCAAGGGGATTTGAACGTGCTACATGTTTTGTCACTTCGGAGATTCGCAGGGGGTTGTTGGTGAACACTGGAGAAAACCGGTTCTGGCAACTGTTTCGACTCCAAGACTTGCGGGGCAATACATGCAAGGCTGCTCTGGCAAAATGCCAGCTTCAGATACTTTCTGGAATGGTTGAATGCTTTTGCGAGTGGGTGATTTCCTCTCGGAAGTTTAGATTGCACCACGTTGAAACAAGCACTTGGGCGTGGGCTCTTGTCATGTGAGGAAGGTGTGCAACGCAGGGCGAATGCACTTGAGCGTAGGTTCTTATCGTGTTTGGGCATGTGCGCACTCAGGACGGATGCGCTTGGGCGTTGGCTCTTAGCGTGTGCGGACATGTGCGGCCCATGCACTTGGGCCTGTGGCTGGCGAAAATAGAGGCAGCAAAAAACGCACAAACGGCTAAGGCACTGACATGCTTCACCTCTGGCGGGGCAAATGCTCTGCATGAGCCACATGCTTCAGAAGAGCATCCTTCAAAACAGGCGGCAACATTACACATGGCGCTGAATTGATCTTCAAATCTGAGCCCGGTTTGGGTCCATCCATTGGGTTTGCAACCTGATTCCACACAACGCCAGTAATGATCCCTGCGCCGGTAAAGGAGGATATGATCAGTGCGCCTGAATTGCCCAACTCGTGCCGTCTTATTGCACTCTATAAGCATTACCTGTCTCAGCAAGGCTGTTAAACAAGTGCAAACAAAAACAACGACACCGGGTTTCAGTCCAAGGTATAACCTTCACCCGCCCGTCCCCCCGTCTCCCCGTCCACCTTCCCTGCCAGCAAAGAAGTGCAAAGAGCACCCAGAAGAAGAAGGCAACGCCTGCAGAGGCCTCAGCATGGTTGTTGCGGACAACTGCGCTTGATCCTCCATATCCACATCCCTATCCACTGTTGTATTAAACTTTATTACTTTGAAGGAATCCCCTTGACATTGAACAAAGTGGCACTAAAACCACATGTCCGAAAACCACGAGCCTAACTGTTGGATTCTCGAGCCTGCTCTCGATCCGCTCTAGCCGCTCGCTCGGCAAGTTGGTAACCCACGGGCAACATTCCCCATGGCCTGCCCAATCCAACAGTAGACTGGCAATATGTTTGACCGTTGCTCATGTAAGCTTGCCGGCGGGAAGTGGGTAGCGAAGATCAGGCCACTCTGCAAAAAAAACAATAAAAAACAGAATCAGTAGCGGAAGTGCCATGAAGAATGCTCAGAATGCATGGCAATCGCGAAAGCAGCATGGCCCTTATCATGTCAATGTTCAATGCTACTTGACTCTTGGCCAATAGATTGACACCAAACAGCTTGGCAGCCCCCACAAGTCTCGATACATGACTGTTGCTCACTGCACGCTAGCCCCCTCAAGTAGCACGATCGTAAAACTGCAACATATTTTCTTGCCTCAGCATCTTCCTGGGTTGATATCGGATTTGCTTCAAGCTCTTGAGACACATAGCAAGCAAACAAGGCATAACATCACCAAAATCCCAAAGACACTCCCGCCATTGGTGTCTTTTTTTTGTAAAACAAGTAGCCCTGCTAAATGGAATGCAACATCTAAACCACTGCCATCTATTCCTACACTGACCTACAAAGGACACCCGTGCTCCCCGATGCTCCCCGCATGGACCCATCGCGCAAGCGTGGAACATAGGGCGCTGGCCCAGGCCATGATCCTGGCACCGGCTTCTGGGAGGTTTCATCAATCGATTGCTGCGAGTCCCGTGTCAAACCCATGTTCAACACATATGGCCATGGGTCAAAACCCCAATCGTACCCCCAGTGAACATCCCAATCCCCACTAAAATAGGTTCTAAAATGGGTGGTGCACCTACCCCAAAATGGTACTATTGGTGTTGACCCACGGCCATATTGGACGGGCATCACACAAACAATAGTTTCTCCCTATTGTTAAATTCACCCCCCCCTCCCTCATGATTGCTTTCCAGGCCAAAAATAACCGACTCCGCCTCAAACAATTTAACTTGGCCCAATGCCAAACCAAGACTCATTGACTCATTGTCATTTTTGAGTCAAACCCGTAGGGATATAGTGGCCCTTCAAAGACAGCCCTTGATACTGGTGGAGCACTTGTCCCTGTTCTATACCTGACTGAGCAGCCTCAGCCGGCCAAGCGATGCCATACATGCACATATTGAGAAATACCTGACAAAGTTACTACAGGAACCAAAACGCAACCAGCAAAACAAATGAACACCACCAAAATCGATACCCCGCCCCCTCAACCCCCCTTCCCCGCAGGCCCGACGGACGTATCCTGCCTAGAGGCCTCTGGTGCGAAGTAGGTCATGTAGATGTTGTACCTACAAATGTACATTTCTCAAAATTGCGGACCACCAATAGGCCCAGTTATTCGGACCAACCTGAAGAAAGTTCTAAGAACCTTTTCTTCCCTGTGCTGTTTGACCCGCAGCTTGGGTAAGCTAGCATTCATGGTTTTGTTCCAAAATGGGGACTTCTAAAGCAACCATAAAGCAGGCTTCCGCAATTTAGGACGGCGTGCCAAAACCAGCTAGAGCATGTGTAACAGGCCCTTTCCAACTGGGGGCTGATCAAGTTCGGATCAAACAAAACGCGGTGAAACTTTGGTGCAACTCGGCATCTTCTTGTACTCGCTGGGGCCGCTGCTGTGGGTCAAAGCTCGCCAGGAGAAAGGCCTGAGCGGTGGGCCGAAAGGGCAAGGAAAACCGATGGACCCTCGCCGAAGCCAGTTGTCTAGCCTTCTGATTTTTCAACTAGCAACCTCCCCATGGCCCCTAACTGTCTTTTACAAAAGGTGAGGCTCAAGGACCAGTTCCAGTGCTCCAGTCTTCGGAGGGGAAGATAGAAAAGCGGAATTGCAAAGGTCACACACTCCGGTCATTGGAGAACTACGTACATTGATTTAGGCCGTGAAACAATCCAAGCCGACAAGAACATGAAGGACCTTCTGCGCTAATCCCTCCTTTACACAGGAACTCAATCGTTCTCGGGATTGGGATGCCTTTTGGATCCTTTTAGCAGGTTCCGTTAGTAGGTGGACGCACATACACTCCATCTCCCAAATCACCAATGCAAACCAATTGAGGGCAATTTCACGCTTGCCAAGGCAATCCTTGGCCAAAGCCATGGCTAACTCTTAGGCACCACGAAACCACCAAGAAAAATGAATCGCGCTAGCAGTGGCGGTTTGGCTCCCCAAAGAAGCTTCCGAGCATTTGCGAGTGGCTGTTTCCAAGGGCTTCTGGAGTCTTACACCCTATCACGTCATGAGGTGTTTGCTGGAACAAACGAGTAATGGGGGAGCACAAATGGACCATGTGGGAGCACGTTCACCTGGAATCCAGCATCCTTTTCAAGCCTTGGATGGCTTACAGTTTGCACTCTGGAACAAGAGAGGCATTGCCCATCCCATGTCCCAGACCTCCCGTGGCCATGGCAAACAAGCGCGCGTTTTCACGGAGGCAGCAGGAGAAAATAAAACACAAAAGGGCGCTGTAGCTGGAATGGCTTTCGCGTGGAAACTCAAAGGTTCCCCCTGCGCATCACCCAGGGCGCGGTTGACAAGTCCAGGAGCGTCACGGCTCTGAGGCAGGGACTGCGCAGCAGGCTAGGAGCAACAAGTGGGTGCCGACCTCGGGACACCTAGCCTCTGACTCTAAATGTGCAAGCATAGAGCAAAAGCACACAAACACAGATACATATATATATATATATATGCATGATGCATGCACATGTATGTATACATATTGCACACAAGTATGCACGTGCGACCACACCCACAGGCACAAACATAGGCACAGTCACAGTTACGGACACCAATGACACAAACACACACCCACACACGCACACACACCCACACACCCATCCACCCACCCACCCACCCACCCACCCACCCGCCCGCCCGCCCGCCCGCCCGCCCGCCCGCCCGCCCGCCGGCCCCCCGCCCCCCCCGCCCGCCCCCGCCGCCCCGCCCGCACACGCGCACACACGCACACACACACGCGCACACACACACACACACACTCACTCAGACACACACATACACACACAGACACAAACAGAGACACACACACACAGACACAAACACCGACACAAACACAGACAGAGACACACACACACACATACACACACACTCACACTCAAACAAACACTCACACATTACGCATGCACAAGCACACGACACGGCCCCTGCCGTAAGATATTTTTCTAGCACACGTCAGCCCCGCACCATCAGCCCGTAGACCATCTTCTCAAACGAGTACCAGACCACGAACAGGAAGCCATAGCCAATCACCTCAGCAAAATGCCAAGCGGTTCACCTATCCTGCGAGTCTTGCAAATTCAGCGTGTGCTGGTTCGGGCCAAAAGCAAAGCCACAGTTTCTTCCATTTGCGGTTTGGGGCAGAAGCGAGAAGCAACTTGTTTGCAAGACCTGCGGATGGAAGCAAGAAAGCGTGCAAACCTGCATGGCTGGCTTTCAGGTATATGGCGAGGATTGCTAGCAGGCCTCCAAGCACCAGCCAGCAACATTCCTCCTCTCCCTCTGCACTGGGCAGCTCACAATGCAGGAAGCAGCCACCAGCACCTCAGCCGTGACCGCAGCGGGCTGGAGGTCACAACCGGGAAGAAGCCTCCATACTGTGGATGGACACGATGGACGACATCCTGCACCACCTAAAACAAATGCTGGGGTGATGCTTCCCCTGTAAATACCAACCAACAATAACAACGGTTTGCTATGGTTTCAAAGTGGTGCAGGACGGTATCACCCTCCAGCATAGCTAAGTGAAACACGTTTATGGATCACCTCCGCTGAGGGCCGCCGAAGGAGCATTCCTTCAAGGGTCATCCCTGCCCAACGAGGAAGCCCGACGTGCTGGGACACTCGTGCAAGCGCCCCGCATCATTCCATGGAGACTGGGAGATAAGTGGCTCGAACTTCGGGCTCAATGCAAAACACCGACAATATGGGCATTTCCGTGAGCTTGGGAAGCTTCGAGATCTGATATGATACACTTGGGGCTGGAACAAGGAAACATGGGCACATTTGCCCAAAGTGCCAACACCAACACATGATGTTTTCGCAAGTCACGAAAGTGAATGCCCCACTGTAATCACAAAATAAATGACACTTGTAAGCTAATCGAAGCACAAAATGAGGAAAAAGCTGGGAACTCATCCTTCCCAGCCGCCATGCGGCACCATTGCTGCGCCCCCTATCCTCCTAGCGACACTGTGGAGCAAGCCCAACACGAAACAACGGGGCTAAACTACCTTGGATTTCTTTGCGTGCTCTCCTTGTCGTTCCTTGCACGCTTCACCCCACCCAAAGGTGACTCCAGGAAGAGCAGGCTCAGGGAATCCTGCAAAATATCTGCAAACCAACTGCCGCTAAGTCATTCGCAAGTCTGGAACTGGTATGGAGCGGCTTCTTCGCCAGCAGCGGCGAAGTTTTTGGCGCACGTCCTGTTCCCACAGCCAAACGATAGCAAGGTGACGTGTTGTGCTTGTCTGACAAGACCTTGCGCGCTGGTCAACAACTTGGTAAATAAACAAGCATAAAACAAATAAAGAAATGAATAAATACATACTACATAACTAGGTTTGTTGGTTCACCTTTTTGTTGATATCACAGTACTAATTTAATGTACATATATATATATATATGTATGTGTATATACATTAAAGTTCACTGCTTAGCTGGCACGTCTCAAATTAGGAGCCCCTAGTTGCTGTTGATCCATCTTGGTTACTGCAGCAAGTAAACATCCCACCCACAAACCTGATGCAGGGATCTTTCAAGGGGCGGAACCCTTCAGGTTTTATTGCCCTTCGAAAACAAAGGGCGACCTAGCTACTGAGCAAAGCTAACGCATCAAATTGGGTTCCAACTCAAGCCTTGAACGAGGCAACTCAGCAACTACAATGCTATAAGCGTACCCCCGCACGTCGCACACGGCCCAAAGTGGAGTGGCCCTAATCAGAAAATCGTGGCGCCGGGAAATCTCGGCTTTGTCTCAACATGACCCAAGTGATAAGGTCGTCCTTGCGCGTGACAATTTGAGAAAAGACACAAATTCCAGAACAGCCATTTAGTTGGCAGATGGAAAATGAGAAAGGCCGCTTCACCAAAGAGTGACGAGAACAACAAAGAAACACGCCAATTCGGGACCCAGAAAGCGCGTTTCGCCGAATCAGAGCCATAGCACCGGCAGCCATTGCAGCCCAGTTCTGACCATACAGTGAGTCTGAATCAAATCTAAACCACCAGGGGACCACTGGATTAATGGTTCCATGTACCAGGCGTCCATTTTCGGTGCACCTCTTTTCTCGCTTGCTTTCTGCTCCCCTGCTAAAGGTTTAACTTTTTGTGGTTTAATGGAAAACCAACATTAGCTGGCAAAAAGTTAGTCCTAACATCCAAGCAAAATGCAAAGTTTTGACCCACGACGTGAGTGGCCCCATTTGCCCATGCCCGGTGAGGCCCGAGGCCCCGGGCCAGGAACCGCCAGCTCTCAAAGGCGCCTTGGCCTCTCGAAGTGGGCGCCCCTTTTGGCTGGTTGATTTGGGCCAACCCCAAGGAAGAACCTCCATTTGACAGGGATCCGGATGCATGAAAAACACCTGAACATTGCAACTTGTAAATGGTGGTTTCCCTTTATCTTGGTGGAAACAGCCATGTTGCAATCGGGCAAAATGTATCTTTTAAGGAGCCCTGTTTGAGTCAGAATCAAAACCCTGTACAAAAATGGTGCACCCAGAACCATGTAAAGAACTAAGGCGGCCGCAACTATGTATGGTTGGGATCGTCCCTTACTAACCTTCACCTACCCGGGTTTTGATTGTGGCTCATTTGCGTTTAGCCTGGAAAAATGAACATATGTCCAGTAGAGATGGGTTCCCTTTAAAACCAACAGGGGAAAGTCATAAAGTATTCTTGAGCAAATGGGAGAGAAGCCAAAATGACCGCCCCTGACGGTCTGGAGCGGGTCCTAAGCGAATTTCCTTGGGATTGTTCAGGCAAAATCGTCACCAACTGGAGTGAACTATGCAGCTGCCGTTGATCAGCAAGTTGGTTGATGAGCTACTTCCAAGGGATCAACCCACACTGATTGGCGACAAACGCCGTTGGTAAAAAGGAATAGTCGACCAGCTTGACCTTGCAAAAAGTCATTTTCCCATAAAACGCCTGGAGGCAGAAAATCCTGTTCCCAGACGTGTTAGTGAAAAAGGCGGACATTTTACACACCTTGGGATTTTCAGGTAGGTACACATTTAATTTTAGGAGACGGCGATTTTTGCCAATCAAACGGCGTGTTTGGCAGTAGTTCTTGAATATTCACGAATTGCTCCAACTGCGTTGTTGGGGACCAAACGCGTTTCTTGTTTTAGCAATGGCAAAAAATCATGCAACTTCAAGCAGCGCCAGAAATTCAGCAATGCTGGGCTCTCCGCGTATTGGCATATTCTGTACATTGCACATCTACATATGTACATATGTAAATATAGGTGTTAACATATGAATATGCTCGTGAATGAAAACCTTACCTCCGGATGTTCAAACCATTTGCTGTCTTGAAGCATGCTTTTCCAAGTGGAAAAGGCGTGCAAATGATGTCGCGCAAAGAAAAGGATGACTCCCCGCTACAAATAGGTCCGCCCTCCCAAGGCTTGTCAAGGAAATGGCCAAGGCACATGCGCATCTTGGGCAATGCGGCCAGAATTTTATTCGCACATACCGCAGAATGATAGAGCAAAAAAAACCATGTAAACCCCAGGCGCGATGTGGAAGAGAGAGTTCCTCCCAGCTTTGATTTGACACTCACTGCTGAACCAACCAAAAAACCAAGCCCAGTTTCCAGCTCTTTACCTCTGATGGACTCAGGACTAAACAACGGGCACGCCCGTTGTGCGTTTGCCATTCTCGGTCTACTTGAACCAATCTTGGGCAAAACCCCGAGAAGGCTCAAGGCAAACCATCACATTCTGCAACCAGACGGAACACGTGAGTTGCCCTGAGCTAATATACAATTGTATAGTATACGTGTGTACAAATGAAGTACAAACATGATTTCACTGAACTACAATATGAAGAAGATAATCCAAGAACGTGCCCGGCCCAAGCTGCCTGCGAGGATGACCTGCTTGGTGAAGCTAGACACCTAGGGCCGATTCGGATGGAGAAGGCCAAAGAAAAGGGGTGCTCCGGGATCCTAACTTCCCGATCCGTAGGAAAAGGTTCACAAAATTTGTCCCAAAAGGAACATATCGCAGCTCCAACCGACACAAGCGACCAATTCGATATGTCAGTGTGTAGTTTCTAACCGTTGTCAAACGGCCCCGGGATGGAACGAATCAAAATGATTGAGGATTCCAAAACGCCAAGCCCGAAGAAAAACAGCCTGAACAACCAAAAGCATCTATTTGGACAGTGGTAAGCAACCATCCCATCCACTTATCACTTTCGTCGCTCAGTGGCCTCACCTGAAGTGAACCCGGTAGCCAAGCACCAGGCGTGAGTTCGCTCCAGGACTTTTTGGAGCAGAACCTCAGCTCCAGAATCCAAGGACCATATCCCTCCAACCATGGAAGCTGAGAGGGGTTCAAGATCGAAGACTGCAGTCTTGGAAAAGCTCCTGTCGACTTCCGTTACTGAAGTCGAATGGTGGACTGGGAAGTGCTTGAGCCTCCAAAGCGCTTAAGTATTTGGCCTGAGTCGGGCTTGGTGCTAAACATATATCCAACAGGGGATTCCTCCGACCGTCTTGCGTGCGCGTCTGCGTGTGCTTTTTGTGTGATTTGTGTGTGCTTTGCGTGAAAAGCGGCCTCGAAACATGAAAGGCCCCTTTAGATACCTTCGCTGGGCTTCTGACGGCATGGCTGCGGGGTCCAAACTGCGAACAAACTTGACGGCTCCCCCAGTGGTGTGCTCCGATTGGTTTGCATTCTTTGCTTTCTGTCTGGAGCTTCTCGAAATAGGCCCCTTTCTTGTGAGTGGCTTTTAACGGAAAAAAACATTTTCCGGGGGGTGGGGGTCAAGCAAAATTGAAAAATGGCCGTGATTGAAACTGCTCCCAGAAAAATCTATGGCGATTTGGCTGGCGCCTTGCTTAGCCGCAGCACAATACCACCAGAAGCACGCCAGCAAAGGAATCATCAGCCAACCCCCTCCTTGCGATGGGGGTGGGGGCGTTTGCCCTCTTTCGCCCTAAGGATGTGGGACGACGCAAGCGCCCCCACTGAGGCGCCAGCTACATCCTCCTTGGGGAAGCAGTAGCCAAAGGCCTGGCTCCCCAAGTGTCGCCCCGAAGCTTGCCGGGCTGTCGAAATGGCAAGTCCAACGTAATCCGAGCAATGTGTAGCCGCGCCCTAAATACAACATGCACTCGTGGACCCTTGTAATTACCCAGATTACTCTTTAACGGGTCACTTCTGGAGGGGAGCACCCCCAACCAAATAGGACAAGTTTATTGATCCGCGGTCAACACTATGACATGAGGGTGGGCGTGTGCAGCCTCGACGCTGGGGTAGCTGGGCTTGGCCGTGATGTTCCGTCTCATTCCGATGATGACCTGCCAAATAAAGAAAGCACATGCGGCCTGGCCTACGGGAACAGCATCCAGAAGCCGAGCAAACATCTGCGGAAGTGGTGGAATGGGAATTCCCACTAGAAAAGGACTCCTTTGTAGACTTGATACCTTGCTCTGTGCGTGCTCGTGCAAGTGGAAGGACGAGCAATCAGAGCACAGGCCTTGGAGGAATCAACCCAGTCACCCAACCCCTTGTCCCCAAGAGAGCTACTGGGTGAGACTTGAAATTTGCCCGGAGGAATCACTATGTCTAAACTCCCGAAGGGGCCCATGATCATCCATACCAACGCAAAAACCGGTGTTTTGACCATGGTTATGAACGGCCGACCATATTACCGCAAGAAGCTGATAGGGGACCAGCAAACAACTACTGCCTGCGCTGCCCTTAGAGGTGATCTTCAATCCAGGATTCTTTGGTGGTCGCACGAAAAAGAATATAAAAGAATGTCCAACAACCAGTTCAGAGGCTGTTACTCATGAATGACAATTCATAGCCACGAGACCCCTCTCAGCATCACCCGACTGAAAGCATGACGCGCAAAAACACACACACACACAAAAAAAACAACCCAAAAAGGAAAAAAACACAAATGCGCACACAAACACAAACACAAACACAAACACACAGACACACAGACACACAAACACACAGACACAGAGACACAGAGACACAGAGACACAGAAACACAGAGACACAGAGACACAGAGACACAGAGGCAGAGAGGCAGAGAGACACAGAGATACAGAGACACAGAGACACAGAGACACAGAGACATGGAGACAGAGAGGCAGAGAGACACAGAGAGGCAGAGAGGCAGAGAGACACAGAGACACAGAGACACAGAGACACAGAGACACAGAAACACAGAAACACAGAAACACAGACACGCAGACACGCAGACACACTGAGACACAGAGACACAGAGACACAGACACACAGACACACAGACACACAAACACACAGACACACAAACACACAAACACACAAACACAAACACACAGACACACAGACACACAGACACACAGACACACAGACACACAGACACACAGACACACAAACACACAAACACACAAACACACAAACACACAAACACACAAACACACAAACACACAAACACAAAAACACACAAACACGCAAACACACAAACACACAAGCACACAAGCACACAAGCACACAAGCACACAAACCCACAAACCCACAAACCCACAAACCCACAAACCCACAAACCCACAAGCACACAAGCACACAAGCACACAAGAAAACAAGAACACAAACACACAAACACACAAACACACAAACACACAAACACGCAAACACACAAACACACAAACACACAACCACACAACCACACAACCACACAAACCCAAAAGCCCACAAGCCCACAAGCCCACAAGCCCACAAGCCCACAAGCACACAAGCACACAAGCACACAAGCACACAAGCACACAAGCACACAAGCACACAAGCACACAAGCACACAAGCACACAAGCACACAAACACACAAGCGCACAAACACACAAGCACACAAGCACACAAGCACACAAGCACACAAGCACACAAGCACACAAGCACACAAGCGCACAAGCGCACAAGCGCACAAGCGCACAAGCGCACAAGCACACAAGCACAGAAGCACACAAGAAAACAAGAACACAAACACACAAACACACAAACACACAAACACACAAACACGCAAACATACAAACACACAAACACACAACCACACAACCACACAACCACACAAACCCAAAAGCCCACAAGCCCACAAGCCCACAAGCCCACAAGCCCACAAGCACACAAGCACACAAGCACACAAGCACAAACGCACAAACACACAACCACACAAGCACACAAGCACACAAACACACAAGCACACAAGCACACAAGCACAAGCACACAAGCACACAAACACACAAACACACAAGCACACAAGCACACAAGCACACAAGCACACAAGCACACAAGCACACAAGCACACAAGCACACAAGCACACAAGCACACAAGCACACAAGCACACAAGCACACAAACACACAAACACACAAACACACAAACACACAAGCACACAAGCACACAAGCACACAAGCACACAAGCACACAAGCACACAAGCACACAAGCACACAACCACACAAACACACAAGCACACAAACACACAAACACACAAACACACAAACGCAAACACACACATGCTGCGCATGCTGCACATGTTGCATACTAAACAGCAGCCGCTTGATTTCAAGCGATCCCAGGTGCAAAAAATACACAGGAACACTTTCCAGCGGAAGCAGAAGCGCAGCGAAACCTCCACCAACCCTGGGCCTGCTGCTGGTGGTGGTCTGGGCCGGGCACGAATCGCGGCACCAAGGACCCATGCCCCATATTCAAACAAAGAATTACAACACCCACTTGGGTGTGCGTTTGCTTGAGGGTACCTTTTTCACCTTTTCTTGGGTTGCGCTGGAGGGTGACTTTGGGCAGTCCCAGGGCAGAGATCAAAGACAAGAACCCCTCAAATCAAATTCGCCAACAAAGGAACAACTGCTTGCCCATTAATGGACGGCTGGGGATTGATTGGTTTGGCCTTGGGCTACTTGTGCGGGCGTGTCTCAAAGATCCTTGAAACCTGAGGAAAGCCGAAGCCAACCATATAATTCAACGCATCTTCTTTTCGAGCCATGTGCCGGTGGCGTGGCAGGCGACTCACTGCGCCCAGCCCAAAAAACGCTGCCGCTTAAAACACGGTGAACGGTTGGAAGGTCCAAACAAACCGCAGCCACAAACTGCAAACTAGCCAGTAGCTTCCCGCCTTGGACGCAATTTTGGCGATCCAACTCCATGATTTTTGTTTGGGAAGGAAAGCCAGCCAGGTCTTGGACGAAACGATTGAAATACAGCCCGCAACTGCTACCATCTTTTACCAGAATTCCAAACCCAGCTGCCAGAAATCTTCAGGTAAAGACAAGGCTACCGGAAGTACCGAAACTTTTTGAGGTCCCCGCAAATGTCGAGATACTGCTTGACCTCGGGCCATGGTGCGAGCGATGAAAACTGCAGCTGAGAGATCGAGCGAGGATGCTTAAGTTGGAAATGACTCTCCTGAAGACGTTGAACAGCCTTCCCATTCAAGTTGGAAGAGGCACTGGCTTCAAAACACGTGTTTTCCCCCCAAAAGAGATGACCGCTTTCCTCTTTTCGCGACCGGCCTCGAAAGGCACCGCTGGGCCAGGGCAGTAGAAGACCTCGTTCTTCGTGCCTTAACTTCAGCAATTCAGCATGACTGCCCCGACCTGAGGCATAAGAACCTTTGGTGAGCTCAGCCAACAGAGAGGGCTGTGGACCTGCGAGCTGAATGTCCCCCCCGCCTGCAATTGTTTCGTATGTTGGGAAACGGGGTTGTGACCCATGCCATCGTCCCTAGTGCTGCATGGTGAATTTTGACCACCGAAATGGGTGGATTCCGAAGGCTCTAAATCTAAATCCTGGAGCCTCAAACAAGACACAATTTGGGCTACGCACCCTGGTCCTTGGGGTGCTCAGGGACATGTGCCTCGCTTTTCTCGAAAGATCTTGGTCCTGCTCTTGTGGGTTTCACGTGGCGCCTGCTGCTTTGCATACGTCACGCCCTGGTAAGGATGGCCAGCTCAGGGTACTGCCCACAAAAACAACAAAATCCTGGGGATTGGCTTGGTTTCGACTAGTGAGCTCTCTGCTGGCACTCGCATCATTATATCATTGCTCGTGGCGATCGACGAAAATATCACCGCTCGCGACAAAAAGCGGCTGGAGCTTGAATCCCAGACAAGGATCCCTCAATTTACCCCCTCTCGCTCCTCATTCAGGTGTAAAGTTCATGAGTTGTTTCAAGCTCCAAGGAGACTTTAGCTGGACCCCTGAGAGGTGACGGGCTTCGAGCCTAGGCGTCGGCATGGCATCTCACACCCGTCATCTCGTTAAAACTGACCCGTGGCAACTCTGAGCTGCAGGGCATGAATCGGGTTTGTTCAAAAATAGTGTACCACCCAAAAAGTGCTTCCCCCTTTTGCTTTTGGATTGAAACTACCACAAAAAGGAACCTTCAACACAAGAAACACCCAATCAATACCCTGCAGGTATGCGCAATATGTTGAAAAGGCATCGAGCGGCGTGATCCGGGTGGGTCAATGGAAAGGTCATTTTCACATGCACCTGCTCGCTCACTCGCCCAAAGGACCTGAAAATAAAAACTCACAAAACACAAAAGCAGCATGGGATGTCGGAAAGGTCAAGAGGTCGGCTTTGGGCATGTGAGCCTTACGTAAGCCAACAGGATGACCGGTTTGGCTGGAGTGTCAGAAATCTACCGTTTTCCATGCAATGTGCGCAATGATGCGCAATGCTGCGCAATAATAATAAAAAAAGGTGAGACACAGCGGGGAATCCAAACAGGAGCAGCATGTTTGTGTGATCCCCCCTACCATCGTCTTCCCCATAAAAGCGAAATGGAACCATAAACGGCATTCCAGGGGTCGAAATCCCCCCTCCCCCGATTCCATATTTATGTCAACCGTGAACCCTCGGTGTCTCACCACGCGCCAAGGCTGGCGCTTCGTACACGGTACATCGCGGTGCACCAAACTCGAGGCCACCCCTCCCCAGATTCCTTTGATGGTCCGGCGTGGGATGCTGTACGGTCGGTCTAACGTCAGAAACTAATAAGCCTTCTTCGGAAGCTTGCAAGCAGCTTTCCTCAGTGGCCGGGGAAAAACACGCTCTCTGTTTGTTGGGGGAAATGATTCCCAAACAATTGGGACAAAGGGTGTGGCGGGGCACCTCACACAAATAAAACACGCCACTGGTTGCAACTCGGTTTCGGAGATGCGCGCAGCTGGCAAGCGATGGAGATTTGGGTCCTTCGCGGTTCATTGATCCCTTGCTGAAAGTTGCAGGGGGAAAAAAATTAGGGGCTCTTCGTGGGGCTTCAGCCCCTCAGGAAGGGGTCTCAGAACCTTCTTAGGAATCCTTAGACGAGAGTGAGAACCCCTCTGATGCCAGAAGGTCTAGAAGTCCATTGAAAAACCCGCCGAGCTGTGGACGTGGTAGATAAAAGACGTTCATCCATTCTAAGTGGTCGCAACTTGCTCGATGTTTCTGTCCTGCCCTCAGATCCCCTGCTAAAAGTTTAACTTCTAGTCTAAATCAAATGGAACCCCCACACACTAAAAGTCTTACAGGCTAAGGAACCGGATGGCTGGGAGCCAGAAACCGTTTTCGGCCCAAGACCGTGTCCTGCTCCGGGGGCTGAGCTCGGGCCAGCGGCTCCGCAGCTCCGCGCTGATGTTGCTGAAGAGCTGCGCCGAGCCGGTGCGGCGCAAAGTGGCCAGGGACACCATGGCGGAAATCAGGACATGGGCCTGCCAGGGGTGGGACGAAATCCAGTTCGCACCACTTTGAAACCATAGCAAACCATAGTTGGTTGGTAGTTGCAGGGGAAGCATCACAGGGAGTTTTTAGGTTCGTCCATCCACAGTATGTGGCGGTCCGGGAACAACACAAATTTCCCTAAGAAAGATCCAAGCAGCAGCAAATGAGGAATTATTGGTTGAGGCTCCATACGCTGTTCAGCTTGGATTCAAGTGGGAATTGGAAAAGGAAAACCACCAGCTGGGGATTCGCACACGCAAATGGCACGCAGGTTGCATCAAAAAAAAACATACGAAGACTTACTTCATTGAAAAGGATGCGGCAATGGTAGAACAGGGTTCCTCAAAGGATACATCCAACAACAGCCTGCTCTACATGCTCTACAAGGGATCAAAACTAGCAGGTTAAGATGGTAAAGGCGACTATTCGACCGACCAAATGCCTCCTTAAAGGCGACCAATGTATACATGGGTGTGGGTCAAAAATCGGTACCCAATATAGAACCCTGGTAAATGGACACATGAACTAAATAAAACCTGCGGTTCCCTGGTGGTTTAATTTTGACCCATACCCACATTGCCCCCTTTTTTTTCTGGAGTTGTTGGTTCATTTTGTTTTTTTGGTGCCTTACGAGACGTCGAACATTCTGGCCTTCATCCCGCGCAGACGCTGGCGCGTAAAGATCTGCGCCGTGGCATCCAAGAGCTCCTGGATCTGTGGCGCGAGTTTCCCCGCCTCTGGCACAAAGTGGCGGAGCTGGCCAAAAGCCCACCTGCGGGTCGAGGGCGGCTGAGCTCTGAGGGCCTTCGTGTCCCAGGGTGGTGCCCTTGCCAAGAATGCTCTTGCCAAACTGCAGAATCTGGTTGGCCCCTATTAGCCTCACTAGTCGCTATTCCAGATTGAGATTGGGACATGGGCAGCCATAGGCGACCATGGGGTCATTGTAATGGTTGGTAAGCTGCCAGTTCTTGACTCCCGATCCCTCCAAATTGGTGGTTTGGATTGGTGGTTCGGTGGTTAGGGTGTCCCATTTGCACCCAAGAACCAGGCAGCCGTTCAAGTCCGAATCCAAACCAACCTGTCGGCTCACCTAAAAAACCCATCCCTTCAAACACTGGAGGCGCCGATCCAAAAACCACCTGACGGCTTACCTGAAATGCCCATGGCCTTTTGGAACAATACATGGCCCTGGTACATGGTGAACAAAACCCATCTAAACCAGCGACACCCATCTATTTTTAACCAACCTCACCTAAAAAGGACAACTGTGGCCGGGCCCCCCACCCACACACACCCACCCACCCACCCCCCATTCACCCCCCACACCCCCACCCACACCCCCACCCACCCACCCACCCACCCACCCTTGGGGCCCCGGGCAGGAGGTTGGTCACCTCGAAGTCCTGGCAGCTGTGGAGCTGCCGCGCCGCCACCTCCGCGAGGCGCGCGAAGAGCGGCAGGCGGAAGGCGCCCAGGGTGGCGCAGGACCAGGCGACGATGGAGCCTCTCCAGGGGATTTTAGATTTCAAGGGAAAAACCACGGCGAGGAAAAAAAAGAAAACAAGAAAAACAACTTTCTTCTCGGCTGGAATTAGGACCCCAGCAAAAATATATACTTTTTGCCTGGGTCGTGGAACACAAAGGGACCCAACAAAAGCCAAACAAAAAAAAGGGGGAGCTAATTCTGGGGAAGTTTTTGGTGGATGACCAAATTTAAGGGGTTGCCCTACATGAGATGACCATTGGTAAAACCACTCAAACAAAGTTACCCGTGGTCGGGAAAAGGGTACTGGGCAAGTAGGAAGCTGCAGCCGCCGGAGAGCACGTGGCCCTCTCCTTCTCCGCCTCGTTTGCTCTGCGTGAAGCCAAAACTGGCGATTCAAAATAAACAATTGACCAATCCCAATTTATGATCCCTCAAAAGACCCGAAACAACGTGCGCCCTGCTTAGTTTGGATCTCTAGCTATATGGAAGTGCTGTTCACGTTGAATGCGGTCCTGGTTGCAAACCAACGCTCTCCGCAATGCTGCATGTTTGGGATAAAAGGATCCTGTGACCTTGGCCAGGGTCTGATCCCAACCAACTGGAAAAAACATGCATAGCATAGCTTCTTCCCGTGAGTTAAGGGAACAACCCGAGACTCCAGTGAAAAAGGGCAAGACTTCCCTTTGCTCGGCACTTATCCCTGCCTTATTCTCCAGAAGGCCGTCCCTCCAGAAAAGCACCGGATGTCAACACCGCACCGTCAATCCTTAAGGATTTCCCATACCGATGCCCATAAGCCCTTCCCGTCCCGTCATTTCGCCTTGTTCGCCTTGTGGCCCTGGGGCCTCGAAACGAGATCTTCGACACCGAATCCGGTCTCCGCACAAAAGGTCGGTGACCGGGTGCTTGGTCCCCCGGTTGGACTTAATTCACCAACCTGCAGGGAGGGGTTCCCAAAACCCCATGCCGTGGGCAAGCTTCGTGCTCGCCGCAAAAAGCGCGACACATGTTGCCGCCGTGGCCCGTGAGTTTTGTGTCACAGAGCTACTGGTCCCACGGGTCTCCTTTTCCACATGTCAAGCGAGGCGCCTCGCTGCAACTCGCAGTGCGCAATCCTTTCCACAGCATCCAACATGGCAAGGAAAATGCCGTGCTGCAGGATTGCGCCGTCCTGAAGTTCAGATCAACTCCGCGCCCTAAGCCTAAACCGCATGGCTTCCTCCAAGGCCTGTTTGGGGGACTGCCTAAGTTGATCCTCGACAAATGTCCACTTGCGCACGTTCCCATCTGAGGTCAACTGCATTATCAACATGTTTGCTTTACACAAAGGGGACCAACATGAGTCGCCAACCATCAGGGGCCCCGAG